CCAGTGTAAAATGTGTACAGCCTGAGCACCTCTCAGAACTTATATTTGGAAGTATATCACTGGCAACTATGGCCAAGATCATAAACGGAGTATGTGCTGTGGCAAGCATTTCTGAGTGTAGCTTGTTTTTTTTTTTTTTTTTCTATGTGCAAAGTACTAATCCCTTAATTCTTACTTGGAGATTATGCCAGTCTTGGCACTCTCTATTGAGCTTCTTGGAGCAGGGTTTTAGCACTTAATTAAACCTAAAACCAAAATGTGATATATTGCAGCTTACCAGTCATTAGATGTGATGGCTGCACTAGTATTAGTTTTTTTCACCTGATGATCTGGCCAGTAACACACCTCTCATATTATAGTGGAGTGTCATCACTCTGGATGAAGGAGCATCAGAGACACCTTTGGATGGCAGCATTGTAAGACTAGGTGAGGGGAGTGTTATCTGGAGTTTGGCTTCAATTTGTTGGTGTGTTGCTAGTACATCTGTCACTTTTTATATTTCAATGATTTTTATTAATTTTAAACAGTATAAAACAGAGGCAACAAAACACGCCCGTGCAGGGACGATCAATTGCACCGATAAAAAAAAAAGGGCATAATAGAGAAAACAGTGCCCAAACTCCAACAAGGCAAAAGGTACGCCGACGCAGGGGCTAGCAATGGCACATAAGTTACAATAACATTAACGTAACTCTGACTATCACAACTAAAGACAGCTGTCCACTGTCACACCAAAAACAAACAGAAAAAAAAAAGAGAAGGAAAAAAAAAACACCAAAGAGCAGGGGTCCAAGAGCGCCAATACCGAACGCCAATGCCAAACGCCATTACATCCCCATACTAGCCAGGGGGAGTGTGGGAAAGGCGTATTGCAACCATGGCTCTCATATTTTCAAAAATGTACGTTGGGAGTCGTTGCATATACTCGACATCTGTTCGTTGATCATCATAGAAGTCATACGATCCTGCACCCCCTGAAAAAGGACAAACGGACTCCTCCAGGCCTGAGCAATTGTTCTAGTGGCCGATAAAAACAAATAGGAAGCCAACTGCTGCTGACGAGCCAAGAGGCCCGGTATGGGGCAATGAAGCAAAGCATACCGAGCATCCCGGCGTATGGAACAAAGTGAAAAGGAGGCCAAACACACGAGACCAAAAACGAACCAACCTCGGACATGACCACCAGATATGCAATACATCGCCATGAAGGCCACGACCCTGAAAACATCGATCACTACAGGCAGGATTAGCCTGGGCCAGACGAGCCGGAACCCAATACCAATGAAACAATACCTTGTAGGCAGCCTCCAGCGTGGTTGTATAGAATGAGCATTTAGCTATGAGTGACCAGGCCCTATTCCAGTCCTCCGGATCCACAGCCACTCCCAGGTCGCGCTCCCACTGAACAACATATGAAAGAGAAGTATGCGACGAGCGTCTGTTCAGAGCTGCATAAAGAAAGGAGATAAGGCCCGGGGTGCCCGTACGCTGCTGGCAAAGCTGTTCAAAGGCAGATTTCTGGTATGGGAAAGCAGAAGTGTCCCACAGCGACAGCAGCCAGTGCCGCAATTGAAGATATCGAAAAAATTCCGCTGGGGGAATATCCTGGGACTCCCGAAGAAAATTCCAGGTGGGGACATCTGTCACTTTTTAAGCAGTTAGAGCATTTTTTTCCTTTTGAGATACAAGACTTACATAATTAAAAGTTGACCACTGTAAGAACCCCTGTCAGTGCTAAATGGTTTTTTTTTTCAAGCCTGTAACTGCTACATCTGCAGGACAGCTTGTTCTGTTGAAAAACAACAGACTTACTTGCATGATCACCAGGTGCAAATAAAAAAACAAGGCCTAAAAAAGGAGAAACTAATGCAGCCATCACATTTAATAATTGGTTAGCTGCAATATAATAACGGTTTGCCTTTGGGTATCCTACCACTTTAAAGCATGTTGAAAACCCAGAATTTAATGAATTGCCACTTACCAGGTCTTAGATGTGGAGGCTGCTTTTTTTTTTTTTTTTTTTTTCAGGCTTGATTTTCATTTATCCTCACCTTTTGATCTAGCATGTAACACATTTCATGTCTCAGATGGCTCTTCTGTATGTAGGAGTGATGGGGTTACCTTTGGACAGCAGCATTGTCAGCCTTTGGAGAAGTTAGTGTTAGATGCAATAGCAAATTTAGGTGGATTAACAAATTAAAACCACACTCCAGCTAACAATTTAAAGCAGTTACAGCAACAGTTTTTTGCCGCTTTTGGGAGAAAGGTTTTACGTACATTAATAAAAGATAACTGTTGTAAGCATTCCTGTCAGTGTTAAATGGTTTGTCTCAACACCTTTGCTGGGCAGCTTGTACTGTTAAAGGGAGTTGAAAAATAACAGACCTACTGGCTCAATCACTAGCTGAAAATAAAGGAAAAAGGCCTACATAAAAGAAACCAATTCAACCATCACATTCTGGGGATTGGTAAACTGCAGTAGGTTATGTTTTACTTTTGGGGTTAGATACACCTTACCTACTGCCATGTAATGCAGCAATAGTGTTGTTGCAAAGCTATGTGTGCTTCTGCAGTGGGTCTACAGGACACTGCCTGTGGTCATCACATATTAGCAAGCCCATCTGCTCTGTCCATACCAACTACACTGCCCTACAATGCTTGATGGAGTTTCCCTAGCAGCATGTTCACACAACAGCAAAATGAGCTTGCAAATTCAAGTCCGTTACTGTGCAGTGACATCCCCAGCTCCTCCCTGCCCTCAGCCCTAGCCCTGTGGACATGGACGCTTAGCCATTATGTATTTGTTACGGTATCTCTAAAAAAAAAAAAAAAAAAAAAAGTTTTTCTTTACTAGTAAATCATGTCTCATACAGATCAGTATGCCTGGGAAATACCAAGTGTGACTATAAACATCTTCTTTAAAGTGGAACTTCAATCCCCTCCTCCCCACCCATACACACATCACAGCCAGCTGCCCACACTAAACATGGCAGCACCAGGGACTGAAGACCAGCGAAGAACCGATTATGGTAAGGACTGTGCTGGATTCCTGGACTGTTGAGTGTCCTGTTATTAAAACTCAAAAGCTACTGTAGCTAGTGATGCTTATTTTTTTTCAAAGTGGGAAAATAAGCCCTTTAAGGTGGTCTTGAATGGTTTCCCTTTAATTCTTGTAGTTAAAAAGAAACATACAGAGATTAAAAATTACACTTGCTCTACTCGTCATGCTACATACACTTTGTTGTTCATCATTGTGCCATAGCCCCCTTAGGCAACTTTTTTTAGATGAGAATTTTGGGTGATTATAAAGCAAATAATATAACTTGAGCTTATTTGTGTAGTTGTAGTGATAGAGTTCCCCCAAAAAGATAGGGAATCTTTGTAACATGTAAGTTAAAAATAGTATAAATACAAACTACATCTTATTAGCAAAGCTGCTAGAACAGCTGAAAATAACAGTACTTCAAATGACAGCCCCCTCCATGGAGATATCATCTGCGAATGAAAATGGCCCCGTTAGAGAACTATACAAATATGAACCATGTTATTGCACATTAAGCTGCCATGGAATGTTTCTGCATGGCTTAGTTTATAATTTCCAGCATTCATATCTCTCCCTGTGCATTATCCAATTATCTATACAGCCTTCTCTGATGAAAACCCTAACGCATAAGTTAGTAGGAGATTTATTACCCACAAATAAAAGCCAGTCTAGAGAAAATGGACCTTAAATATTCCTTCTTTAGCTTCCTTATCATAACTATTGATGGCAAAGTGTTCTGCAGTTGGAGTCAGAAAATTATATTGATTTTTTTTTTCCTGCTTATTGTACTTTCTGTTGCAATCCCACTTTGTCTTCCTTATGCAGCTTTGACCTTGATTTCATTCTTACTTGGCAGAGTTCTCTTTAACACACGTCGTATTGATATTATCAATCAATCATTTTGTGAATATAATATTGTATTAGTCAAAATCATGGCTCAGAATTGATTGGAAAATTCTGCAGTCATCAAAACTAATGATCCCATTTTGTCTTAATTATGCTATGCTGACATTCCTGAAGTTGGAGTTCAAAGTGACGGCACTGTAGCTGGTGCCCTAATTTTTCAGTGCCTCCCTGACTTCAGTTCCGGGCTAACTTATGGGCTGTGATGTTTACATTGTTTTAAATTAGGAATTCACTGTGTTTTATATTGGGTTGATCGTATAGTTGGGATTTGTGTGTGGGTGTATTACTTGTGTTATATAAAACCATTTATCAACAGAACAGTTTTAAAGCCACCGTGGTGGCGGTAATTATTATTAAAAGTGCTTTGTCATTACATCACAAATGACATCATCAATTTTATTTAATGACTTCAGCCGCGAGCAAGGCTTGTCGTTTGTTATCAAATACTAATGCTTAAGAAGGAGAGTTATTGATATTGTTCATGGTTCATAGGAGCAGAATACTGTGGTTCAGTGAACTTCAATTTTTGTGTTACAACAGACTTATTTTAAGCCTCTGTTGTTTTTAATAAGTTATGTTAACTTTGCTGCAGAAAAGAAATAAAAATCTGTTTAAATGTTTGGGAGATGTCAGTGAATACCAATACTTTATGTCCTTTTTTTCTTTCTTTCTTTCTTTCTTTCTTTCTGTGGAATGAGATACAGTATCCCACAGAAGTGAGTACACCCCACACATTTTTGTAAACATTTTATTATATCTGATGACACTTTGCTACAATGTAAAATAGTGAGTGTACAGTTTGTATAACAGTGTAAATCTGCTGTCCCCTCAAAATAACTCAACACACAGTCATTAATGTCTAAACCGCTGGCAACAAAAGTGAGTACTCACATAAGTGAAAATGTCCAAATTAGGCCCAATTAGCCATTTTCCCTCCCCGGTGTCATGTGACTTGTTAGTATTACAAGGTCTCAGGTGTGAATAGGGAGCAGGTGTGTTAAATTTAGTGCTATTGCTCTCACTCTCTGATACTGGTTACTGGAAGTTCAACATGGCACTTCATGGCAAAGAACTCTGAGGATTTGAAAAAAAGAATTGTTGCTCTACATAAAGATGGCCTAGGCTATCAGAAGTTTGCCAAGACCCTGAAACTGAGCTGCAGCACAATGGCCAAGACCATACAGCGGTTTAATAGGATAGTTTCCACTCAGGACAGGCCTCGCCATGATCGACCAAAGAAGTTGAGTGCACATGCTCAGCGTCATATCCAGAGGTTGTCTTTGGGAAATAGATGTTGAAGGGGTGGGTGGTCAGCCTGTCAGTGCTCAGACCATACACCGCACACTGCATCAAATTGGTCTGCATGACTGTTGTCCCAGAAGGAAGCCTCTTCTAAAGATGATGCACAAGAAAGCCCACAAACCGTTTGCTGAAGACAAGCAGACTAAGAACATGGATTACTGGAATCATGTCCTGTGGTCTGATGAGATCAATATAAACTTATTTGTTTCAGATGGTGTCAAGCGTGTGTGGCAGCAGCCAGGTGAGCAGTACAAAGACAAGTGTGTCTTGCCTACAGTCAAGCATGGTGGTGGGAATGTCCTGCCTTGGGGCTGCATGAGTGCTGCCAGCACTGGGGAGCTACATTTCATTGAGGGAACCATGAATGCCAACATGTACTGTGACATACTGAAACAGAGCATGATCCCCTTCCTTCAGAGACTGGGCCACAGAGCAGTATTCCAACATAACGACCCCAAACACACCTCCAAGATTACTACTGCCTTGCTAAAGAAGCTGTAAAGGTGATGGACTAGCTAAGCATGTCTCCAGACCTAAACCCTATTGAGCATTTGTGGGGCATCCTCAAACGGAAGGTGGAGGAGTGCAAGGTCTCTAACATCCACCAGCTCTTTGATGTCGTCATGGAGGAGTGGAAAAGGACTCCAGTGGCAACCTGTGAAGCTCTGGTGAACTCCATGCCCGAGAGGGTTAAGGCAGTGCTGTAAAATAATGGTGGCCACACAAAATATTGACGCTTTGGGCCCAATTTAGACATTTTCACTTAGGGATGTACTTGTAGAAAACTACAGGAGGAGGCAGATATAAGACCAGAGAAAAGTAGAGCGAGCAGCACAGACATCATTCTACCCTGATTTAGCACATAGATGTGGAAGAAATACACAAGGTACGCTAAGATACCAGTAAGAATACCCATGTTTCTTGTATTTAGACATGTTAATAGCTTTAGCTTGATATTGGTTTATCCCGGAGTTCATCTCTAGCTGCATTCATTTGTTCCTTTATGTTTGAAGATTAAAGTATATCTAGGAAAAAGTTTTTCATTTTTTTTAGTTTTGGATAGCATAGTGAATGGTTAGAACCTCTGTCAAGCTTTTATTTCCAACCCTTTGGGGAGACTCACCCTTCTGTTTCTGTTGATGACCATTGTTTTTAGAAAGGGAGAAAAAAAACCAAAATTTCTGAGTTGTCCCCAGAAAAACAGTTAAGGGGAGAGCCTCCACTGGAAACACCCACAATGGGGGGACAACTGTGTAAAGCTGTATTAAACAGAAAAGCAAACATATATTATTTTGCAGCTTACCAATTCTTAGATGTGGCTTAGATTTCTTTTTTAGGGTTTCTTTCCTTTATTTTGCCTGGTGTTCGAGCCATTAAGTGTGTTGCTGTCCTGCAGATGTAGCAGTTAGAGAAGGGGGGTTTTGAATCCCCTTACAACAATATATTGTATGATTTAGGATATACAATATTAAAGTATAATAGATGGAAGTGGACCCCTCTAAGCCTAAACCCAATCACATATAAAATTATGCAAATATATAGTTCCTATTAATCATTATCATCACTTCGAAACCAAAATCTATGTTTATTTACAGTAAACTGGGGTCTATACCACCAAAGGGTACCATTTTCAGTGTTGGAAAGGTTCACGTCTAATCTGCAGGGAATTGGGGATCATCTAGGATGGACATGAGGTGGTAATTTTGTTGCCAATTATGGTGTATGCACACCAAGTCCCAGGTTCTAAAGTTGGTCATAGATGGATCGAAATTCAGCCAGCTCAGCTGGGACCTGCTAAATTTTGATCCATTTGTGGCCATTCCCGCTAGAGAGAAGTTGATCTAACTGGCTTCTCTTGAATGGGAATATTATTAAAGACTTACCTGTAGGTAAAGCATAAAAAAACAAGGCTTTCAATCATAGAAGAGGGGGCATGGCAACGCCTTATTTTTTTTTTTTTTTTTTTTGTGTCTGATTTTTTTACTTTAGCAAGATGGGGAGGATTACAGATGACAGGCTCTTTTGTTGCCAGACTGTGGACAGTTCTGCTGCTTTGCTGAGTTGGATAGCATGTTCGGTTTACTTTTTTTTTGGGGGGGGGGTTAAAATGTATATAGGGGGTTATACTTTAATGCATATATGTATATAGAATAAGAGAATGGTCCTTTTGGTTGCAGAATACTAACTTTTCATAGAATTGAGCAGAGCTAGGCCAGAACTAATTCACTACACTGGAGAGAATCATTTAAACATTCTGTTTTACATTTGGTATGGCATTGTATGTTTAGATAGGTTTGGTGAAAGTTATCCATTGTTTGCTGTCAAAACGCTATGGCTTGTGGTATTTGTAGCATCTCCGCTTCCTCTGGCAGTTCTACATGTGTCAGTTCCAATGAAATGTTATGTCCAAGACCTGAAACTAGTGTTAAATGGGTCATCAAGATATCTGGCAATGAAAGAAAAACTATCTGCAAAGAAATCTGAGACGTCCTCTTTAAAAGCAAGCTTTCTTCTGCCATAAATATTTCTTTGCCATGAAATTACTTAGTAGAGTAACGAAGGCCTTAAATGACAGCAGTCCCATACATTGTTCTTTCTTTTAATAATAGTTAATTATATATTGCCATTCCTCATATAGTGACCTATTTTTCTTTATTATTTCATCATGTTGTTTACAATTTTATCGCTGATATGTATTGCTTACGATCTTCTGGCTGTTATATCTTAAAAGCTTTTTTTTTTTTTTTTTTTTGAATGCCTGCTTTTAAGGCTGTAGTAGTATTTTTTGTCCTTTGTTGTTTGTATTGTTATGTGCAATCCATTCCTTGTTTCATGCCACTACTGTTGCTTTGTGCACTGAAATAGGCAATTTCTCCATCGCACCCGTATAGTCCACTTCTGATATAGTCCACTTCTGATATTTATTTACCATTTAAGTGAGCCATTCTTACCTAGTATCGAGAACCTTTTCTATGAATGCAGGAAAGACTTGCATTCATTGTGATAATTAAAAATAACACTTAAAGTCTTATATTACTGGTGATATTTACATCTAGTGGGCTCTTATATTTATTCAGTACCAATACAGGTGAGTTTGTTTGATAATGAATTGAACAGTAGTTTGTAGTTTTGTATTACAGACAGTTTTGACTTGCTGAGATTATACTGCCTTATTTGATTGGAAGTTATAGTCTTTTTAAAGCTTTAAAAAATCAGCACAAGGGACATTGTTTACCTTCAGCAAAATAAGTCCCTTGTGCTTCTTCTTTTAAATTAAATCTTCCTCCTCAACTTCCCTTCTTCAATCCTGACATATAATTCCAGAGTGTGTATGTGTGTGTGTTAATAGAACTGAGTAAGCTGCCATTTGCACTCATTAAGAGTGCCAGACTATGCCCATCCTTTCCGCTCAGCTGCTCCATTCGTATAAGCTGTAATACAGCTCCTATGAATGAAACACAGTCTGTGAATGGTGGATGTTTGATTGGTCCATCTCCTCCATTCACAGATCCTGTTTCATTCATAGATGCTGTAGTTTGGCTTCTATGAATGGAGGAGTGGAGCGTAAAGCACGGACATAGTTGGGCACTCTTGCTGAGTGCCTGTCAGTTTCCTAGTTCTGTTAACCTCCTCTGCACTGGAAGATTATAGTGTTGGGGGTATCAAAGGAGGACAATTTCAGCAAAAGGAGGACACAACAGCACATGGTACACATCTCACTGTAGGTAATTAACCACTTCCGGACACTTTCACTCCCTTCCTGTCCAGGCCAATTTTCCGGTTTCAGTGCTATCACACTTTGAATGACAATTGTGCGGTCATGCAACACTGTACCAATATGAATTGTTTAGCATTTTTTTGAGACAGATAAAACTTTATTTTGGTGGTATTTATTCACCACTGGGATTTTAATTTTTTTGCTATATAAATGAAAAAGTCCAAACATTTTGAAAAAAAGAGTTTTTCTTATAAAATTTTGCAAATTAATAATCTTTCTTCATAAATCTTGGCCAAAATGTATTCATTTTTTTTCTAGTAAAAAAAAAAAACCCAAATTAGTTTATAACCAAAATTTGTTTTATATTTTTTTTTTGGGGGGGGGGGTTAACACTGTCACCCTAGCAGTACAGTGTCACCATAGTGACACTGTACTACTTGTGGGGGGTGATGAAGATTTTTTTTTTTTTACACTGATTGCTTTTATACCCATAAAGGCTGTAAAGGTAATCATTTCTCCTTCTGTCTGGCTGCATTCTTGCAGCCATTGAGAAATTCTGTGTGAGCTGTGATTGGTCACAGCTTGTCACATGGTACAAGGCTGTTGTGAATAGCCTTGTACCATGTGACCTCTGTGATCATTCACAGATTTCAGTAGTAGAAAGCAATGATGTCAGCAAGTAACATCTTGATTACTACTATTCATGTGATCACTGATTGGCCAATCAGCGATCACTTGATCGGGACCTCACAGGGAATGCGCACAGGCGGGGAGCCGGAAGGACGTTTATAAATAGCCACCCGCTCCTGCAATGCTCCCGTCTGGCCATTTATAGAAATGGACCAGATGGGAAGTGGTTAATGCCCCTTGTGCTGATTTTTGTTTTAGGTAAGCCTAGGCTTTAATGTTGGATGTGAATGTAATCAGCCTAAAGGTATTGACAATATAGAAATCACACCGGTTAATATGGTGAAAAATTGACTCAACCTTTCTGTTGTATCTCTCTGTGTGCAACATGGAGAAGAGAAAGAGCAGCAAAGAATTTTCTGAGTATTGGAGAACAAAAATAGTGGAAAAGCCTGGACAGTCTCAAAGTTACAAGTCCATCTCCAGAGATCTTCATGTACGTCCCTGGACGTGGACGAAAAAGGAAAAATTCATCAAATATTGCAAAAAAGGATTGTTCGAATGGTGGCTAAAGAACTTTAATCAACTTCCAGACATATTCAAGCTAACCTTCTGGCACAGGGTACAACTGTGTCAACTTGCACTATACGTTGCCATCTGGATGAAAAGGGACGCTATGGTAGGAGACCCAGGGGGGCCCCACTGCTGTTACAGAAACATAAAATAGACAAATTAGAGTTTTCCAAAGCTTACCTGGGAGAATGTGCTGTGAACAGTTGAAACAAAATTACAGCTTTTTGGTAAAGCTCATTATTCTCCTTTTTTCAAAGAAAACAATGAGGCCTTTAGAAGAGAATACAGTCTCTACAGTCAAACATGGTGGAGGTTCACTTATGTTTTGGGGTTGCTTTGCAGCTCCAGGCACTGGATATCTTGACCGTGTACATGGCATTATGAAATCTGAAGACTACCA